CTGACAAGGCAATTATATTTGTACAATACATTTATACCAGAACTGAAAACCTTTGTGTTGAAATCTCAAAATTCACGATCGCTTGATCTTGATATCCACTGAGGGCGTTTTATTTTGAGGATCAATGCTTAACTTATTAATTTCAAAGCTCCCTTCAACCAATGACTGTGTACAATTACCATGTAGAATATTGAAAAAGATTAGATTAATCTGCAGATTGACAAAAAGAGGAGATCAAGCATTGATCTCGATATCAACAATACAAGATTTCCCAACTGAGGTTACCTCAAATCCAGAAATGTTTATATCAGGAAATCGCCAAATACGACTGAATACTGTTTACATTTCTACCACACAAAATGTAAACAAACTAAGTGCATCAATAAATAAATATATTATATATGTTATATATGTTTCTTGTCTTATATCGTGGGGAAAACCCCTTTAACCTTGAGGGGTTTCTTGTCTTCTATCGTGAGGAAAACCCCTTTACCCTTGAGGGGTTTCTTGTCTTATATCGTGAGGAAAACCTCTTTACCCTTGGAGGGTTGCTTCTCTTATATCGTGAGGAAAACCTCTTTACCCTTCGAGGGTTGCTTCTCTTATATTGTGAGGAAACCCTCTTTACCCTTGGAGGGTTTCTTGTCTTATATCGTGAGGAAAACCTCTTTACCCTTCAAGGGTTGCTTCTCTTATGTCGTGAAGAAAACCTCTTTACCCTTGGAGGGTTTCTTGTCTTATATCGTGAGGAAAACCCTTAAACCTTTGCAGGGTTTCTTTATAATTGGGGGTAAACTTTTTAGTTGTTAATCTCGGGATTTGATCTCCAATCTTGTGAAGACCTACGGATCAATTTAATTCCTCTTAATACCCTGCTGAATTGGAATCAAGAATTTATATCCTACATTTAAAAGTTATCAAAGTGAATATCGAGCCCATCGATGTAGATTACCGCCATTTCAAACAAAAGTTTCAAATTCTAATGGTTTAAACCTTTTATATTTTGATTTATTTGAATCAACAGAATTCAAATTTGAAATATCAAAGGTCTGCAAGGAAAAAGGATTAGAAAATTAGAGTATGAGACAAGTATTATTTCATTAATCAAATTTTTACTTCTGCATTCTAAAACAATATTAATTTCAAACCAAAACTGTAACAGAGGTATTTTAGTAGTGTAAAACATTTGATATTTTAAACTTAGACTATTTTATCTACAACGGACTTCATAGTTTGAAAAATCAAAGGTCAATGATATTGGGTTTGCAGAGTTTGTGGCAAGAACTCAATTCCTTTGTCTTATAATTCAGAAGCAAGCGTATATCTATCTATAAATTTGGCTTGTCTGTTTGTCTGTTTGTTGGTAGAAAAGCCCCTTCTTAATTATATGTTGATTAATAGGTTCCATTACTCAACGTAATAATTTTTAATTTAAATTCCTCTAAAATTCATGAGTAGTTTACAATATTGTACTCTAGCACATTGTTAAATTAGACCTAATCCCAAATTGTATTGTTTATCATGCAAAGTACCAGACCAACATGAAACAAAAATGTTTATTTTAAAATTTAAATTTTGAGAACACTTCATGTAGATTTTGAGAACACTTCATGTAGATTTTATCTTTGTTACGAGTAATAAAACGTGTGTGAAGTGTGTTTATGCAGGAGAGAAACTGGAATATTTTTTTTATTTTTTAAACAAACTAATAATTAGAAATGTAATTGGTTTTATAAACCTTACTTTAAACCTGTACTCATGTACTTTTGTACTCCAGTATTCCTGAACTCTTGTACTTCTTTACTTCTTCAATCCTGTACTTCTATACTCCTGTACTTATGTACGCATGTACTCGTGTACTCTTGTATTCCTGTAATTCTTTACTCCTTTACATTTGTACTCATATATTCCAGTGCTTTAGTACTCTTATTTAGATTTAATTAATAGTTTTAATTATGTTATTCATATATATAATTCTAAAACGTATGAGCTAATTAAAAATACGCAAAAAATGTTTTAAATTAAAACTTTTTACCCTATTCGTCATAATAATCTACTCAGGGTTTATGCACAGTATATCTCGCATCAAGTATGCTGGAGTAAAAATAGAATATGCACCCGACTATTCATCTAATCGTTTAGAAAGAAATTAATCCGTCATTTTCCCAAGCCTTGAGTTAATCAAAACATGAAATAAAAATATTTGAATAAAACTTTCATGTTTTTTTTTTCTTTATTTCATACGTCAAAATGTAGATTGTACATATTAAATTTTTTTAAGAATTCAAAAAGATTTTCTGTTTTTATTTTTATGATTTTTTTTTGTTTCCCCTCTTACACTGGTCCATGCTAAACCAAGTGTGGTATTTTTACCTTTCTAGAATATTTTATACAAAATATCAATTTCATGCATATACCCTGATACCTTGATACCTAGTCTTAAACCTGGGCCCAAGGTTGGGTTCAGGCCTACAAACTATATTCAACCTTATACTCCAAGTATGAGAATTAACACGTCTCTGTCCCAGCTCTAATCTTATTCCTGAGATATCCGTCCTAGCTCTGGAAAGTTTACTCGGTATTCGTCCTTCTCCGGGAAGACATTTTCTACGTGTATTTATAGGTATAGATGCATATAGACAAGTCGTGAACGAAATATCTTTTATTCTCCATTTAAATACCTTGATTCATGACTCCCATTGTTTGGCAGATTTTACAGTTTAAAATTGTGTTTATTTGCAAGGGCGGAGTCGGGTTTGGTTCCAGTTCAATTCTTTATTATCTCATCAAATCCTGGACTCTCAATCAGTAATAAAACATTTGATAAAACGAGGATTACTGTCGATATAGATACATTATGGGATCAGTTGTAAAATTAGCGGTAAAATTTTTATTGTTCTAAACTTTTATTTTATGGAGTATTTTGTAAGATTTTCTTTTCGAAAAATCGTTATTAATTTATCCGTATCTATCTATCTATCTATTAATTTATCCGTATCTATCTATCTATCTATCTATTAATTTATCCG